TCTTTCATTAAGTACCTGTCACCTTCTACATTTTCTCATGGTCATTTGTGGAAATACTTAGCATGTATGGGAGAATAAACTTGAGGGCCGAGGGCATTCTCAATTCATTTTTGTATTTTTTGCAAGCTCCAGTCTCACAGCATCTGATTGACCCCTGACACGAAGCAAGCCCCGCAACGTATATGCAGGAATGAGAAGCAATGTGGAACAGTGATTGAGAACACCAGTGTTGGAATTTCTGAGTTAAAACCCCAGTTCTGCTACTTACTAACTGTGTCTTCTTGGGCAAATTATTAAACCATTTTATTTCGCCACAGTTTCCTCATCTCTAAAAAGGGCATAATACTGCAACCTACATCGTGGAATTACTATGAGGATTACTTGAGTTGATGTAAGTTGTTTGTTAAATATGAATAAATGAGAGCCACCTAGTGCTGCCTTTGGCCCACCCAGCATGACGAGGCCACACCGTGGTCCTCTCGGTTCTCTACAGCCACCAAATGTCATCTTGTCTCTCATCTACTGAGTGACAGGATCTACTGGCAACCCAATGAACTGATAATCCAGCATGAAGAGAGATGGACGGACTCTCCCCAGGCTCTTCTCCCTCTAAGGAGCAGAGGGGTATTTATTTAAAAGGCAGCCTTCAGGAGTAGGTGGTAAATGCAGGCCTTTCAAGCCATTAGGACAAGCTGCAGGTGTCTGCTCTATCTTGCATGACTTCAGTGATACTGGGAAGATTATGGTACCTCTCTCCGTCTCCATTCCTTCCTCTGTAAAATAGGGGTAACAATATCTACTTCACAGGACTGGCATGGGGCATAAGTGTGCACGGCTCAATGAAGAACAGCCTTTACTACTCGTTTTCCTCCCCTCTTATCTCAGACACTTGCATATCCACTGCAATGGTCCTGGCTATGTGGTCTTGCCTAAAGGAGACATTAATTAATGCTGGACATCTGCCAAAGACCCCATTATAAATTCACCTAAATTTAGGACAGTCTGGAAATACCTTAATCTCCTGTGACCTTATTTTTGACTTCCGCCTCCCTATATGATGGCCATTTTCACAGCTGTAAAACAGGGCTGTGGCACTTGACCATGTCTCCTCCATCCTGGACTTGCCATGAGCTGCAGACCTGCAGTGAATGTCAATCAGAACATGAAAGAGAGTGGTATTGGAGAACACGGCTGCAGCAGACTCGATCTAACCTTCTAAACATCTTTCCGAACTCTTCATTGCTACGGCTACCACTGCGGTCAAAGCTCCTATCATGTCTTACCCAAACAACTACCACTGATTCCATCTCACTCTAAGATACCTTTGGAAAGCAGAGCCTACAACAAGGGTTTCTGAGCTGGTTGCTTACTGAGGAGCAGCTCCAGGAATCAGAAGTGAGGGGCAGGCAGAGTGGGAAAGGAGGGACAGACAATACTGGGTGTGTAAGCGAGGTCACTGGTTGGGTTCCTAGGGCTTACCTGGGACCTTCTGAGCCTTCACCGTCCCTGCACCTTGCTGAGGGTTGCTCCTGGAAGCATGAATTCCCCTGCACTTCCAGATTGTGCCTATACATGGGCCAACAGAGCTCATGTGATTGGAAGCCCTGGGGAAGAAAGCATTTGAGGCTGGGGTTGTTAGTGTGAGGTGGGGTGAAGCAAATGTGGAAGTTTCCCCCATGGCTGCAGCTGGACTCAAAGGTGAGACTGAGTGGACATGGGCCAGGGCATTGCTCGTCCCTTGCTTTTCTCTGCCCTGGAGCTACGGTGACTGTTTTTTCAAAATGTAAAATGTATCTGTCACATATGCTTTCTCAACTGTCGGGATCCAATTCTAACATGGCCTGGGAGACCCTGACCCACGCTTTGCCCAGCTCTGCCCACCACTCCTGCCTTTTCTCCTCCCACCACTACCTCACTGTCTGCAACTGGGCCATGCTGCTGCTCATCATTTCAACAAAAGTGCTGTTTCTACACCGACCACAGGACCTCTGCACATGCAACGTCCTCTTTCACTAGCGAAGCCCTGTTTGTTCTTCACTTTTCAGCTCAGGCATCACTTCTACAGAGGAGCCTTTCTAACTCCATCTCTAGGATGGGCCAGGATCCCTTGTAAGCCTCTTTCAGAATCTTCCTTTACACACAAGGAGCTGGTGTCAGCAGCTCCTCCCCTTACCTGGGGTGAAGGGAGGGGAACGGTAGCGGGGACAACAACTCATTTCTCACTGCACACCTCCGGGATCTTTGGCCACTTACACTATGTTCTTGCGTTGCCAACTAAAAATATTAGGTGATTAAAAATTAATCAAACTAATAAGACAAGGCCAAAATTGTTCATGGTTATCTGAGCTTTCTGGTGGCTGTACGCATGAAAGACCCTCCTTCTAGATTGCTGCCTTTTCCAGGTTTCCTCCTCTTCTCCTGTGTCCTCTCATTGCACAGCTGGCATCTCCCTTTCTGTGGCACCTGTGCTATTCTCTTCCTGAGACTGGCTGGGTCCAGGAGAACATACCTTCCTTGTTCTTTGAGTGCATGTCACCCTTTGTCCAAGCCTTGGGGTCTATCACTCCTTAAGGGCTTGCGGGAGAGAGCCTGCAGTAAGTAGTGTTGGGAGGAGACAACTTGCAGGAACCTCTCAAGGAAGCAGATGGAGATGTTTCAGCCACCTGGTTTAATCAGATCACAAAACTTCAGCAATAAATGTGACTTTAAAGCTCTCTGGCAACTATGACCAAAAGAAAGAAAGAAGGAAAGAAAGAAAGAAAGAAAGAAAGAAAGAAAGAAAGAAAGAAAGAAAGAAAGAAAGAAAGAAAGAAAGAAAGAAAGAAAGAAAGAAGGGAAGAAAGGAAGAAAGGAAGAAAGGAAAGAAGGAAAGAAGGAAAGAAAGAAAGAAAGAAGGAAGGAAAGAAAGAAAGAAAGGAAGGAAGAAAGGAAGAAAGGAAGAAAGGAAAGAAGGAAAGAAGGAAAGAAGGAAGGAAAGAAAGAGAAAGAAAGAAAGAAAGAAAGAAAGAAAGAGAAAGAAAGAAAGGAAGGAAGGAAGGAAAGAAAGAAAGAGAAAGAAAGAAAGAAAGAAAGGAAGAAAGGAAGGAAGGAAGGAAGGAAGAAAGGAAGAAAGAAAGAAAAAAGGAAGAAAGGAAGGAAGGAAGGAAGGAAGAAAGGAAGAAAGAAAGAAAGGAAAGAAGGAAAGAAGGAAAGAAGGAAAGAAGGAAGGAAGGAAGGAAGGAAAGAAAGAAAGAGAAAGAAAGAAAGAAAGGAGGAAGGAAGGAAGGAAGGAGGAAGGAAGGAAGGAGGAAGGAAGGAGGAAGGAAGGAAGGAGGAAGGAGGGAAGGAAGGAAGGAAGGAAGGAGGAAGGAAGGAGGAAGGAAGGAAGGAGGAAGGAAGGAACGAAGGAAGGAAGAAGGAAGGAAGGAGGAAGGAAGGAGGAAGGAAGGAAGGAGGAAGGAGGGAAGGAGGGAAGGAAGGAAGAAGGAAGGAAGGAAGGAAGGAGGAAGGCAGGAGGAAGGAAGAAGGAGGAAGGAAGGAAGGAAGGAAGGAGGGAAGGAAGGAAGGAGGGAAGGAAGGGAGGAGGGAAGGAGGGAAGGAAGGGAAGGAGGAAGGAGGGAAGGAAGGAAGGAAGGAAGGAAGGAGGGAAGGAGGGAAGGAGGGAAGGAAGGAAGGAAGGAGGAAGGAGGGAAGGAGGGAAGGAAGGAAGGAAGGAGGAAGGAGGGAAGGAAGGAAGGAGGGAAGGAAGGAGGAAGGAGGGAAGGAGGAAGGAAGGAGGGAAGGAAGGAGGGAAGGAGGGAAGGAAGGAAGGAGGGAAGGAGGGAAGGAAGGAAGGAAGGAAGGAGGGAAGGAAGGAAGGAAGGAGGAAAGGAAGGAAGGAGGGAAGAAGGAAGGAAGGAGGGAAGGAAGGAAGGAAGGAAGGAAGGAAGGAAGAAGGAAGGAAGGAAGGAGGGAAGGAAGGAAGGAAGGAAGGAAGGAAGGAAGGAAGGAAGGAAGGAAGGAAGGAAGGAAGGAAGGGCTTCAGGGGAAGTTTTCTGATTTGGAGAAATTACACCCCGGAGTACCTGTTTCGTAGGTTTGGGAGAAGTTGCCAATTTTGAACCTTTCTTTCAAAAGAATCAGCCTGTCCCCCCGAGTCACTTGTTTTTTTTCTTCATTACTCATTCCTGGTTGTAAGCTCTTCCCCCTGGAGACACCTGACTCGTTTCTTTGTCTCCCTCATTCTCTTCTGCCTTGGTGCACCCCCTTATTTCCCTCTTCCATTGCCTTCCTCTGTGTTCCTCCTCCTTTTCTTCTCTCCATTCTCTTTCCTCCCCACCTTCCTTAATGCTCTCCTCTGTCTTTATCTCCAAACCCTTCTCACACACCTCCCACAGGCTTCCTATTCCAGGGGCTTCTGACAATTTGAAAGTCTTGAGAGAACAAAAGAGAACTCAGCTGTCACTAAATATTCCTCCCCGCCTCCCCTCAGTCCCTTTCCCCAAGGGCTTTGGAATAGTTCAGGCCCCAGCTTTCTCCCTTTCTGTAAATGAGCCTCTGCCACATTTTCCTTATAAATAAGAGCCATTCAGAGCAGTTTTCTCTTGAGCTGCTTGGGGGACAGGAAGTGTCCATCCCATCTGCATCCCCCAGCCCACCATGCTGTGCTGTCAGACACCTTCCAGTCACTACACCTGAGGCCCAAAGGCAACCTACGGTTCCTGCCCAGCAAGCCCAGGGTGAATGTGGCATCTCCCACTGCCCTTGCACCCAGCTTCAGCAGCCCTGCCCACCAAGAGCACATGGCTCATGGAGCCTCTGCCAGGGAAATCTGCCTCAGGCTTGGTCAGTGTTTTAGGCAGAGGAGTCACTCCTGAATGCAGTTTAAATGTCTTTGGCAGCAACAGAACATGAAGGTCTTTTAAAGCAAGTCGTCCTCTATCTGTCAGAACAGGGGAGCCAGTTAAGATTTTATTACAGTTTATCTCCAGAGGTGGGGGTGGTGAGGGAGAGCTCGGGAGTTATTTTCCATGTGTGAGATAGACTGTCCTGAGGCTTGCTAAGTTTATAGATCACCAGTTGCCAGAGTTCCTTTTGCTTTTTACCCTGGAGGGGAAAAATAAAAAAATAAAACATCCACTTACAGATCAATTGCATTGTCTGCTGCTCAACAATATATGGGCCTAGAGCAGGAGGCTGTGAGCCAGGCCTCATTACTAAAGATCCCTGCAAAAATGGGTGCAACCAGACAGTCTCTCCCTCCAAACTCCTGACCCAGGATTGCTGTCCATGCAGCTGGAACAATGAGCACTTCTGGGGGTCCTCCCCACATCAGTCTAGGGCCAAAGGATATCAGCTAGGGCCCCGAAAGCAATACAAGGTCTTATACCACTTTTTTATTTTTCTTGCTTGGCTTTCTTTGAAATTTACATCCCAGAAGAATGTCCTGGAACTTGTATAGATAAGGGAGTTCCTTGGGAGAGATGGAAAGGGGAGGAAGAGGAAATGGGAAGAGATTGGCGTGGGTGCAAGGAGGAGGAGGCAATGATCGTTTAAAGGAACCATGGAGGATGGAAGTGGGGTGGTGTGCAGAGCTGTGGTGGAGCTCAGCCTCGGAGCTGGGCTCGCCAGGTTTGGACAGGCCCTGGGCTGCAAGCAGGGGATCCCGTACATTTGAGGTCCAGACTTTCAATCCACAGAAGTGTGTGTGTATCGCCCCACTTGATCCCAGCTTGCTTTCCTTCATTCTTTTATTCATTCATCTGAAAGTCCTTATGAGCATTTGCTTTGTGCCTGTTACTGGGGACACGGCAGAGTACAAGACAGGCACGTTTCTTCTCTTGGAGATTTTGACTTGGCATCAGCCTGTTTGCCTCTGTGAGGAAAGACAGTCGGAGCACCCATGAGTCGTTCTACTCTCAGAATCCAGCTCTGCCCATGGTCTGATGAAGGCTGAGCCCCAGAGCTGCCATGTGAGAGGCTGCTTGTCCACAGGCACAACTCCTGCAGGGCACAGCGGAAAGCAAGGAGGCACGCTGCTGGAGAAGGCCGAGCGGCAGTCACCGCCACCCTGCCAAAACCTGCCCTAACATGGAAAAGACCCGGGCAGCCAGCGGCCTCCTGAATTAGGTTGTTTGCCAAAGCAATGCATGTAGCCCGGAGAGAAGCAGGCTGGGACTGCAGGGCATGCTACAGCTATCTTCAAAGATCTGAAGGAGGTCACAGAGCGGGCACGGTGGAGGTATGTATCGCGGCTCCAGAGGACACAGTTTGCAATGCTTGCTGGAGGTTACAGAAAAAGGAATTTGGGCTTAATCTAAGAAAAAATTATATAAAACATAGTAATGAGCTCCCTGTTCTTGGTGACAGACAAGCAGTGTGTGCACCAGCCTGCTAGTGATGGCACAGAAGGGGTGGCTGCACTGCATGAAGCTGGCCCTGCACGGTATCCCACGCTCCTCCCAATCTGAATACTTTATGATTCTGTAAAACACTGAGAAACTTTATTTTTAAAGCCACAAACCACTTATTTTTAATTGGGGTGTTCCTTTCCCATATTGTTATTATATTTTGTGGAGTGGGAAAAAAATGTTTCCAAGGCCCTTCCTTTTTTGCTGCCTCACAGAAGCCAGACCTGGGCACCTTTTCACATGAGTATTTTACCCTAGAAACTCTAGGCAAACAGGGCCCAGTGCCTTATACACTGGAAAATTACACAGCTCTGAGATCCTGAAAAGTGCATAGTGTTATCTCCAGTTTATTGTTCATTCTTAGAAGGTACTCTGACGATTACTTTCCTGTCTTGGTTTGAAGAGGCAGGAATTAAATGCCAGTGAGTGTGTGTAACAAGAACTGTATAACGCTGCCCTTTGGGAAGGGTGCGTGGATCAAAGGGGAAGCTAAAATTACTCAGATCATGTAGGGCTGCACTTTGAGGTTCTCTGGAGCAAGGCTTGTGATGCCTGGGACAGCAGTGCTGGCAACAGCAGGCCTGGTGCCCTGAAGCCCCTGCTTCCTGCCTGTTTCTCTGGAAGTCTGCTGAGCTTCATGGCCACTCTAGAGCACAGCCTTGGAGCCCTGTCCGCACACATGGGTGTGCTGCCTGTCTTGGGTTAGCCACGGCCCATGAAGCTATCGCTGACTCCTGGGCAGCCAGAGGTGGGGGGGCGCGGCAGGGTGGGAAACCTCCCAGTCACCAACAGTGACCTTGGTGAGGCGCTGGGGGTGAGTCAGATCCTCCTCACAGACTACACACGGCTGCCACCTCCTGGAACTTGCCATAACCCAGGCAACTCAGATCCTGGGCCTTCACTTGTGATGGCAGGGACAAGGGCACTGCAAAGGAGGTTAACACAGCTGGGTGTTACCTGCCTTCTACTCTGGAAACCCAAAGCTGGAGGCTGCTGCAGCTCTGGGCACCCTGCGGGCTTCTGCCAGCCCCGCCTGGCTTCCCTCCTAGAATACAGTGGAATCCTCATGGGTTTATAAAACCAAGCCTGATTTCAGGAAAGGGGGTGTCCTTTGGGTCACCTTTGATTTATCCTGCCCTCCTCATCCACATCATGCCCCATGTTGGTAAAACCATGGCATATTTTACAAGAAGCCCTTTCTCTCTCGCTGAGCCGAGGTGCTGTTACAAGCTGTTCAGAGGCCCCCGTGCCCTAGTATCTCTGACATAGGCAGTTGCTGTGGCAAAAGAGAGGCACCAAACAAAGCCATTGGCCCTCTCTGAAGACTCTTGGTGACTCTAGAGCCAGAAGTAAACAGTGGGATGGACAGATCATCTCCTCCAACTCCTGTCTTCAAAATGCACCCGTGTTTTAATGGCTCCCCAGGGAAGGAGATCCAGTCACCGGTTAACATTCTGCGATGGTGTCTGATAGCGCGCACTAGCTCCAGAATGTTCCTATCCCTCTTGGGCTTTCTTTGTGTGTCTTCATCACTCCGACACTGGTGGTCCTTCAGGCCCTGTTTGCTGCAACCCTGACTGGAGCCTTCACATTTAAGTTCCTAATGAAATCTTCTCTTTGACTTTTGCTCATTTATAACACTTTGTGCTAGCTCTTGGGGTCCCAGAGAAATCAGTTTCTAGACCAAATGCCAAGTGCCATCCCCCAGATATGCAGGTGAGGGTTGTCACTAAAATGCCAAGTGACCTGTTGGCAAGCGGACAGCTGAGGGTGGCCTTGCTGGCTGGGCTAGGCCAAATGGGCTCTGGCAGTTCAATGTGTTTCATTTCTCTGCTGTTTGACCTGGTTCACATTTGGCTGGGGAGATTGCGCCCAGGCAGTGGGCCCAACTCAGCTGTGTCCTCTGGCCTCTGCACAAGATCTTTATCATGAAGCTAGGCGAGGGCTGTATAATCCTTTCTGTAACTTCAGGGTAATGGTCAAGGTAGGAAGGAGCTCTGGCTGACCTGTCTGGAAGAACAGGTTGAGGTTTATAAGGTGGATTTCAGTAGCTGTGGGGGGTTAATGGGTAGGGAAAGGAGAGGGGCTGGCCGATGATGGCCTGGCTGTAGCACTGAAGCCCAAAGACCCAAGGTATACAGAGGTCAAAGCTTCAGGTTGGGCAGGAAATTTGTGCAGGCCAGCATGGAGAGCCTTCTTAAGTCTTGAGGATGGTACATTCCCCAAGGGCAGTGGCCACATCGTAAATGTATTTTCACTCCCTTACAAAACTCAGCACAGTACTTTCAAATAGTATACAGACGATGGTCAAGAGCACTGAGTTCCAAGGCCTGCTCTAGGATTTAGCCTTGTGACTAGGGTGAGTTAATTAAATTATCTTCTCTGTGCCTCAGTGGGCTCATCTGTTAAATGGAGATAATAATAGTACTTGCCTTACACGACTGTTACAAGGATTAAATGAGAGGATAAGCAATTACAGCAGTGTCTGGCAAATTTGCTAATCTTCCTAGGCACACAGCGGGTATTGATTGAGTGAATGGCTAGAATTCAGATGGAATTATATTGTAGGAGGACTAAATTCCTAGTTTGAGGCTCTTTATCTCCAGTGCTTAATTTTATCCTGGTATTTGTCACCTATTTTATATGCTAGAGAGTTTTATAATTACTTAAATCATGCCACCAAGACAGCCTGGAAGAAACTAGCACATGTATTGAAATCCCTTCCACCTCAAGGCTGCTTGCTGGGGACAGCCATGCACTGCCGCCATGCTCTCCACACACGTTTAAGCTCAGGGGCTGAAATGTGCAATTCTTTGCTGCTGATGGAGCTACAGCTGCCCGGACAGAGCTAGGTTACACTGTTCAGCCCCATGCTGCAGCTGGTTCCTCTCATGACCAGAGGCCAACATGTATCCCATGGTTTGTTAGGGTCAGGGCAGCCACCTGGGGCCACACACCAGAATGCTGCTCACTTATCTCCTTGGGGATTTGTATTTACCCCTTGGCCTTGCTGGCTCTCTGCTCCGGCCACCTGAGAAAGCTGGCACAAGACAACAGGAAATTGGAAGCTATGTCACAGGTCAGGTGTCCAGGGAAGGGTCTGAAGGTGACCACCCTGGGTGTCATGTGGAGGGAAGGGAGGACACCCTGGCAGGAAAGCCTGGACTCAGCTTGGGCTGTAGCCAACCCCTCTCTCTTCAAAGCACCCACCATAAAAGCTGTAACAGAGCAGAATGGCTGGGCCTCTCTCACCCCTTCCTTTCCCGCACTTGTGCACCGGCCTCATGACTCCCTTGCCAAGTCCCTTGGCTTCCCTCCGCAGTCTGTGGAATCTGAGCAGGATGATCCCTGGCCCAGCTGTTAGGAATCATTTTGAGGATGAAAACAATTAAGCTGGGCAAGAAGCCCACCACCGAATCCTGTCCCCGTTTTTGCACCCTTGCCTTTTGTTCTCCTTCACCCCTTTCCGGGTCACCTTTTCTATCTATCCATGAACCTGCTGAGAACATTCACTGACAGTGTGCTGGCTCTGGAGGCACCCGCCCAACCCTGTGGATTTGGAGATCCTGGGGTGTGGGAGGAAGGGGTAACTGGATTCTGGAAGCATCTCCCCCCACAAGAGGCTGGGCCAGATTCAGCCAAAGTGCCGGCCATCTGTGTAACATTGCTAAGCAGTGTCCTTTCCTGGACTTGTCCTCCCTGCCCTCTGGGCATCAGAACTCTTGGTGCTGAAGTAACAGATGTGCACACTGAGGCATGGCTAAGGAAGGCTGTGAGCCGTTTGTCCATCCACCCCAGGCAGCCCTTCAGGCTCTACAGGCCAGGGAGCTCACTGCTGCATCTGAAGAAGTTCCTCAGATATTTTGAACCCTCCCTGCAAGGGCAGGACTAGCTGAAGGAAGTGCTAGACAGGGCCCTGGGGCTCTGGACTCTAGCCTGCGAGCCAGGCAAGGGGATGACGGCAGCATCTTTGGTCTCTGGTGCTCTACATGGCTCCTGAACTCCTCTGGACAGTGTGTGTGTCCCCTGCCCCCCAGGCCACAGTGTTCTTCCCGCTGCTGTGTCCTGATATCTAGGACCATGCCTGGCACACAGTAGGCTCTCAGCAAGTTTGTCTCACTAAGGCTGGCAATGCCCACTTTCTGCAGCACAGCCACCTCCTTTCTTCACTTTAAGGCATTGCTAGTCCTTCTTCACCTGGGTTGTTTGCCTTAAGTATCAAAGTCCTAAGCTAAAGAAATGAAATGCGAAGGTGGCTGATTTCAGGCATCGACAAGGGAGAAGGTCTGTCTGGGGAAGGAGGCGACAATGGGAGCTTCCGGAAGACAGAGAATGCCTGTGAGGCTCAGCTCCCCACCTATCCCTAGAACTTCCTCATTATCTCTGTGGCCCCAGGAAAGGGACCCAGAGGCTGGCTCATGCCCAGTGTGAAAGCTGGCAGCAGGAATGCAGGAGGAGCTGGGAAAAGCAGCCTGAAGTGCATTTCTCAGTGCATTTCTCAGTGTATCACCTTACTCTGATCCACCCTGTTGGTGAGGGCGGCTGCCCCGCCCACCTTCACAGCTGCCGGGGTGTGGCTGGGGAGGGGAGCCTGGGCTGTGAGAACAGATGATTTCAATTTAAGCAGCATTTGGGGAGAGTCCTGTTCCACTTGCTCATTTTTCTTAGCACTCCCCCCACCCCTGCCCCGAAACTTGATTCAATCAGTGGTGGATGGGAAAGGCCCGTTTCCATGACAACCCTACCGTGAGAAAGAAAAATCAGCCAGAGAGCAGGCTAGAGTTTTATCTGGAAGAGGGCACTTGGGTGGGTTTAGAAATGGAGGTCCAGC